TGGGGTGAGGGAAAATCCCCCCCCCCCCCCTCATAGTTCTCCTTTAATGGGACTTCTGGTATCGGTATTCGGTATCGGCGAGTATCGGAAAAAAAAATATCGCTAGTCATACTCGATACCGAAAAACTGGTATTGGTGCCTCCCTAGTTATAACCTTCCCTAGCTCTATACCAAACACCTGTTGGCTTTGGCTGGAGTTGGGCATTACCAGTTGCCATTTGTAGACTGTTTACCCTGGAAAGCCCTGGGCAGTTAATAGATCGGATTCATTAGGCATGTTAGAGGCGCAGCATGCTGCAGCTTGGCGGTTTGTAGATCATTTTGCTGCATGCAAATCATTCATCACATTATTCTCCCAATAAACATTTATTCTACAACAACAACAACCAAAGCTTTTGACTCCCTCATCACTCGCTGACGCCAGGAGGCCTCGGAGGAACCAGAATCTAATCAGTGGCTCTGAGGCATTGCCAGTACCCAACCCAAGGAAAAAGGTGAGAGTTAGCGCAGAGCTAGTGAAGCCTATATAGGAGAACTAGGGGGCGGCCTGCATGGGGCGTGCTGTGTCCTTTGGTCAGGTCCGGACTGATGATGGTGAAAAGCCCATTCCACCCAAAACTGATACGTTTGGAGCGATAACTGGCAAGTTGACTCCTATGCTGATTTCTAACATCTCTTGGACACTCCGGCAGTGAGACGTTCCCATCGGAAATTACGATTTACTATTCTCAGTGATTGTCAGGGTACCATGCACAGGCTTCCTCACACCACATGTAGGTACCCACGCAGGATGGCCAAATTAATATGCCCACACAGGATAGGGTTATATGCACACAGTTTGTTACACATCAAACAAAACTACAAACCCCCTCAACCCCCCACAGGTTTAGTAGTGAAGTAACAAAAACCACGGTTGGGACAAACACACACCTACAGCTAGGGGGAACAGCAACAAGGAGGGGTAAGAGGACTGCAGATAGACAGCAGGCATACAGGAAGAGTGGTCAGGTACAAGCCGGGTCGTTAACAGGATTCAAGGAGAGTGGTCGGGTAACAAGCCGACAAGGTCGGTGACAGGTTTGCAGATAGGAAGCAGGGCTCAGGTAGCAGGGTTCAGGTAGCAGGGCTCAGGTAGCAGGGTTCAGGTAGCAGGGCTCAGGTAGCAGGGTTCAGGTAGCAGGGTTCAGGTAGCAGGGTTCAGGTAGCAGGGTTCAGGTAGCAGGGTTCTGGTAGCAGGGTTCTGGTAGCAGGGTTCAGGTAGCAGGGTTCAGGTAGCAGGGTTCTGGTAGCAGGGCTCTGGTAGCAGGGCTCAGGTAGCAGGGCTCAGGTAGCAGGGCTCAGGCCAGGGGAGTCAGTCAGGGGCAGGCGACGCAATACTGAGCCAGCTTCCTGCCTGCAGGGAGGGCTTAAATACCCTCCCAGGAAGTACCAGGTGATGGAATGATCACTCACAGCCGGGGCACACCCGCAGGTGAGTACTGGAGCTGCAGGTTCCTGACAGTTCCTGGCTGCTGGAGACACCCGCAGGTGAGCACAGGAACTGCAGGACCTGGCTCCAGCGCCACCTGGGGGTGCTCTGGATCCTGACAGTGATGCAGAACAAATAATTTGGGAGCGAGGGTCACACTCTTCGTCATAATTGCTGCCAGGGAATCTCTTCCCCGGAGTTTTCAGAGGTTTAAACTGCACCTGTCATATGAAAACTACAACTGATCCCCCCGCCCCCCTTTAACGCATTTCACCCAAAATAGGCTTAATCATAGAGATGAGGGAGAAAGTGACTAGATGGCCTCTAGATGGAGCCGGGGAGCATAGGACATATACATTTATATCATATGCTCCTCAGTTCCACCTAGCGGCCAGAATGTAGTATTACATCACAATAAATTCGAACTGGGAAAAACAATGTATTAAGAATGTTCGTTTTTGGCAACACTATATTCACAAAAACGTAACAAAGATACCGTACCTCAAAAAAATAATTGGCCTTGAGAGAGAGGCACGGCTGCACAGCACCATCTACACTCAGTAATTGTAGTGTGCACAGAGAGAGAGACAGCGCCATCTACAGCCAGTCACTGTAGTGTGCATATGAGAGAGAGGCACGGTGCCAGCTACAGCCAGTCAGTGTACTGTGCATAGAGAGAGAGGCACA